AGCAGGATGAGTTAAGTCCTATTATCCCCATTTTGCCAATTAGTCCCAAGGAGGCAGGACGACTAAGTGTGAGGCCACATATGCTTTCAACTTTTAGGGGGAATCCAAACAACGGGAGCCCCGGTTTTAAGTTCTAGAACAGTGATTTTCAAGGAGCCTTCTGGAGCTAAGGAGGGGAAACCATTTAGTACCTTCCCCTTAACTCCCAGCAAAGCAGCATGGCTTTTTACAGTGATAAGTTTCAATGTATAGAAATTACATTTCAATTTTTAAAAAATTCAAAGTCTTAGCATGATCACTGTAAACAATGGTCTTGATGGAGACAAGTGTCCAGAAGCATGTGAAGTTCTCCGTCACAAAGTGACTGCCAGAAGAAAGCCAGCCTGTAGGAGTTTTGACTGGCCCTCAGAGTGGTTTTTAAAAATTAAATTAAGTTGGCATTTAAAAATTATGAGATTTCACATAACAATCTGAGCTTGACAACACAGGGCCCACCTTCCCACATGGCAACAGTCAACTGAGCCACAACTGTCTACTTAGCATGAACTTGCCAATCCCACTGTCCCCATTAGGGGCCACTTCCGTCATGGACATCACCTGCTGACCCTGTGAGCATTTGAGTGCACCAGCCCAGCTCTTAAAAGCCTAAGCCCTTTCTCTGAATTTAAATGCACCCCAGGTTATAGCATCACTATATTCCCCCCTACCAGAAAACTCCCTTTAGCCCCTCAATTCTTCTTCCCAATGCAGCTATCCCTTAAAACATGTGTCCTGACCTACTTCCCACTTCAAAGGAACTGGCCAAGCCTGCTTTGTAACTGTGGCCTGTGGACATTCGGATTAAAGTCTACCAGGCACAGGGTGTCTGTCATCCACCCCCAACTGGTAAACGTAGGCAGAAGTCCTCATAGCTCGGCTTCTCCAAAAAGTTTACATTCTTTTTTGAATAGGAGGCATATGGAGGAAACCACTTTACATTTCCAGACAATATAACCTGTTAAAGATGATATATTCTATGGGCATACACCCTGTCTTTTATTTTCCCTGAGTTCATCTCTACCAAGTAGCAAAAAAATCTTTCATGTCATTCACTGGAATCGCAAACATGGTCATCATCAGTCTCTCTATCCTTTTTCTGATCTTTCAAACCTAGATTTTATATACATATACACATACACATCACGCACATAATATATATGTGTATATATGTAATATATGTATAAATATATACATATAATATATATGTAATATATAATACTATATATATGTAAATATATAGTATGTATACAAATAAATTTTATATATATATATATATATATGCCTTTAGCCAAATCTTTTTAGTCATTCTTCCAAATATGTGTCCAACTTGGTCCTCGTCAACCAAGAGGGAGGCAAACATGAAGCAAATTCCCACATGCAAAGATAGAGGAGTGGGCGTGGGGCCTAACTCCCCTTACTGACCAGCCTGTGGCCTGAGGAGAGTCAGTAACCTCCCAGAAGCTGTTTCCTCCCTGTGAAGTGGAGGTAACAGCCGCAGGTCCCCTGGCCGGGGGTCAGTACCCCCACTGCGCACCCACAGGGGGCTCCTCGCTGGCCCCGCCCACAGGGGGCGCCCAAGGTCTGGGGCGGGAGGGAGGCCGTGAGGAGGGCCTTCTGAGAGGGACCCCTGGGGGCGGGGCTGTGCAGGAAGAGCATGCCACCCTGAGAGGGGCTGAGAGCTGTCGTTTGAGGACGAGCGGGGGTTAGGAGAAGGCAGGTGGGGACCTCGGCGAGGTGACCAGAAGTGTCTGTGGAAAGACCCAGAGCAGGAGGCAGTGCCGAGGGGGGCTGCGGGGCGGGGTGAGGAGGAGGAGGAAGCAGGCCTTCCTCACCCCTGGGAGGACAGGGCCGCGGAAACACACGACGAGCAAAAAGCTCCTGCGATGTTGGCACTCTGCCCTCCATGTGGCTGAGAGCAGCCAGGGGGACTCTCCGCTCGGGGGACCGTGGGCAGGACTTTTCCGGCGGGAGCCCGCCATGCGGGGCTCTGGCCCTGGCCTCCCTCCACGGCCGGCCGGGAGCCGCGCACAAAGCCTGCTCTGTGAGGGAGCTTGAGAGGAAGGAGCCCAGGGGAAGGCAGCTGCGCCAGCGACACCTCCCTAGTGTCGGCGCTCCCCCCACCCCACACACACCTCTCCGAACCCTTTAGGCCACGTCAGTCTCCAGAAACAACATGGCCAACTCCCAGTGCCAAAGAAAATAACGAGGCGGGAGGCGCCGGCGACTCGGGAACCCTTTCCGTGAAAAGCACAGCGCGTCCTCCAAGGGCAGCACCCCGGTAGCCATCTCCGGGGGCGCTCAGCTCAGGAGCAAAGGCGGGAAAATCCCAAGACTCATAAACATCTCTCCTCAGAATCCCAGAAAAGTGGAAGGCCCCTGGGTTTACTGGCGCCGCCACCCTGCAGGTGAAAGTCAGGGCCAGACAGGGAAGGGCCGCGCGTTTCCCCATGAAACCGTGGCGCCCCCACGTGGGCCGGCGGGAGCCCTCTCCTCACCCCGCAGGCGGAGGCCACATTAGCTGCCACCCTCCGGCCAGACGGCGACTCTTTGACCCACACACATATAGAATTCTGATTAAAAACTTAAATTTAAACAAACCTGAGACAGGCTGAGACCTGGGACCCTTTACTGGAGCGCTCGCACCTACCCAAATGTCTCCTCCAATGACAAAACAGTACGGACTAAAAATAAGTGTACGCGTGCGCAGTTGCGGCAAATTGGGAACAATAAGATACAAAAAAGCCAAACGCCACTGCCACTTCTGAGGTACTGGGAGCAAAAGCAAGGTACTGCACATGATCCCTGCACAGGGCACCACCAAGGGGATGGGCAGACCACCTAAGCCACCCCTCCTGGCCAGCCCACTAATCTGCCCCGACCCTCACCCCCATTTAAGAGACCAGCTTGCCCGTCCCCCAACTCGGGGAGCAGGAAAGGGCACCTGTTACTCATTCTCCCTCCATTGTGTTTGGCGCTCCAAGCGTCCAAAGACCTGAGTCTGTAACAAACCTAGTGTTAAAATTTGACTGTGCCTCAATCTACTCCATGATGGGAGGTGAGATTTCTGGAAGCGCTCTGAGTTTTAGGGGGAGTCTCAGCTTCCTGCTGTTACCTATCTGGGAGGATTTAAAGAACTAGAGCTGATTTAAAGAACTAGATAAGGGCACGCATGTAGCAGCCTGGCTGACACGCGACGGGTTCTAAAGGAGCAGACATCTGACAGGTCAGAGAAGCCATCAACTGCCTGGGATTAGAAGTGTCCGAGCTCCTTTGGGGACAGTAGCAGCAAATGCAGCCTTTAAAGGGAGAATCGAAACAACCTCACTACCATTTGCATTGGGGTTTAATTCGTGAGGCTTTCTGTCGTCCACACAGCCTGAGCCAGTCCCTTCTGCCTGACTCTGCTCTCTGCCTTTCTCCTTCTCCTTCTCCTTATCTTCCTCTGCTTCTCCCTACACATTTCATCTCTTCTCTGTGCTGACGCTTTGAGGATCAATATGAGGGATGGGAAGAGTGATGGCTTTTGAGTTCAGACTGGGGTTCACATCCCAGCTCTACCCCACACTGGCTGTGGGGTCTTGGGCAAGTCTTCCATAACCCTGTGTCCTCTTTTTTTTTTCTTTTTCTTTTCTCTCTTTTTGTTAAATTGGAGTACAGTCAGTTTCCTCATCTTTGACCTCCTGGGGGACCAGAACCAAACCTCTTGTTCACTGTGAATCCTTAGCATACAATTTGTTGCTTCACACATAGTAGGTGTTCAATAATAATAGCATTAAAAATCTGTTTTAAGAACTTTTACATGTATTAACTCATTTAATCCACAGAACAACCCCATGATGTAGGTGCTATTGTTACCCCCATTTTACTGATGAAACTGAGGCTTTTTGAATGAATGAATGAATGAATGAATGAATGGGGTACCATGGCAATGGCAGGAATTATTTGTGTCAAAATTCTTGACCAAGTACCTGATACCTCACCCTTTCCATATCATGTCTGCCACACTTTCAGTTTCTCCTGGCATTGAGACAGGCTGTTGAGCACCCAGTCTCAGCCCTGGACCATCCACTGCCCAGCCTCCCAGACAGGATGGTGCCCACCTCTGTCAGGGGGTGGAGGGGGCTCCTCTGAAACAGTAAAGGGGATCTGGCCTCAGGATAGAAAATCCTCAAAACATCACAAAAAACACAAGAACAACAGTACAACTAACTCTTCCACCTCCCCGTCCTCTGGAGGAAACTGCTATGATGATCCAAGGTGAGCCAGACACTTGGGCAACGTCTCTGCAGCCCGAGGCCCTCAGCACAAGGTAGCCAGAGGCAGCGCACAGACCAGAGCCAGTGTTGGGCAGCTGGCCATAAGAGCAGAGATCAAATCAGCTTCAGACGGTGCCTGGCAACAGTAGGCATTTAATAACTGTTGAATTTATTAATAATTTTTATGCACTGCATAGTCTATATACATTAACCCCAAAGTCCAGAACAGCCCTGTGAGTGAAGCATATTATCACTATTTTACAGATGAGGAAACTGAGGCTTAAATGTCTACGGACCTTGCCCAAGTAGAAAGCAGAAGAACCAGGATTTGAACCCAGGCCTCTCAGGCTCCAAAATCTATACTCTTAATACCATGTTGTCTGAAACCAAATATCTAAAGGCACTTTTTCTTTCCTTCTCCTCTAGTTCCCTTCTTTCAAGGCACTCCCAAGCCAAGCCATGACTGGGTCTCCTGCCCTGTCATTCCCTCTTCTGCCAGTATGTCCACTGGTCGGATCCAGTCCCCTCTGGTTTTTGCTGCAGGATGGAAGGTGACCAGGGCCCTAGCAGAACACCCCAGGGCTAGAAGCCCTTTCAACCCATTAGACAGAGGATGAGGATGTTAACAATAACCAGAGCGTCCCTCGGGGGACTTCTAAAGCTCTCCTGGGGGCTGTCATCTCACTTGCCTCTCCCCTGATGCAGCCTGCGACTCCTACTGGACATCTGTCCACCCTGAGTACTGGACGAAGCGCCACGTCTGGGAGTGGCTCCAGTTCTGCTGCGACCAGTACAAGCTGGATGCCAGCTGCATCTCCTTCTGCCACTTCAACATCAGCGGCCTGCAGCTGTGCAGTATGACGCAGGAGGAGTTCATCGAGGCGGCCGGCATCTGTGGGGAGTACCTGTACTTCATCCTCCAGAACATTCGCTCTCAAGGTCAGTGTCAGAGGGCAGGGCCTCAAGGGGAGGGACCCAGGATTGGGACCCAGCGACCTTGCGAAGTCCTTCCCCACCATGTGACTCACATGGCGAAATTTTATTAACTGTAACTCTCTGTGAACCCATATCCCCTGCTAACCAAACCTCTCCGTACCAGAAACTTTAGAATCACAGACTGGAGGTAAAATGGGGCGAGTTACAAGGAACCAAGTTGAGTATATTTTTAGAAAGAAAAGAAAACTAAAACATGTTCAAGGACCACCCAGGAGCAAGACTGCTACAACAAAATATTATGCTTACAACAATGGTAACCATAAAGGGTGGCCAAAAAGAGACTTCTGCTTGACCTTTCATTAAGCAGAAGAAAATTAACCTGATAGACCCTGTCCCTTCCCTGTTTCCAGAGCTGTCCAACTAATTGCCATTTCCTTTTTTTTCATCGAAGTATAGTCGTTTTATAATGCTGTGTTAGTCTCTGGTGTACCAAACAGAAACAGACTCCCAGACACAAAAAACAAACTTACGGTTGCTATTTCCTTTCATCACATTGCTAATGGTCAAGGATCAAATGGCCACGAGATGGCGCCAGTAGCATTCAACACACCCTGCAAGAGTAGAATGTTGATGGACAGGTTTTTAAAATTCAGATAAAGGACCTGAGGTCCCAAGTGGTTAAGTGACTTCTCTAAGGTCACATGGCAAACAGGGCTGATTCATTGAAAGTTGGTACACAGCAGGGCCTGTGAGATCAGAAAGACCTTCGTTCCAACCCTGGCTCTAACACTCTTGAGCCATAGGACCTCTGGCAAGTGGCTTAACCTCTCTGAACCTCCATTGTCTCCACTCTGTGATGGAGTGATGACACACTTCCATGGGCTCCTTGACAGGATTCAGTGAAACGTTACCTGACACAGCAGATAAGGACACAAATGCAGTGAATGGCAACTGTTTTTGTCATCATGAATACAACCAAGAGGCAGAATTTTTTTAATAAATAAATAATGGAACACATTTTAGCTCAATTTTAAGAAAGGCCCTTCTAAAAGTTAGCATTTTTTAAAATGGCTGCTTCAGAAGATACCTCTGGGAGGAAGCTCCCCGTTGCTGGAGATAATCAAGCCATCTAACAGCCCCCTGCTTGATGGGGATACTGTGGCAGGGATTCCTATTTGGGCAGAAACCCACAGAGGACCTTCAGCTCTAGGAGTCTTTGTCCTCCCCTTGATCTCCCCATCAAGGCAGGAAAGCTAAGGATGGGGACCCCTGGGCACTGCTTAGCTTCTGCCCTGGGAGCCATGGCTCACTGGGGGTGAGAAAAGGACAAACAGACCTGCTGTTCATTGTTGTCCAGTCTCCGCTTCATTATCACCAATGACAGTGACCTGCAAGGAGTTGGGAGCAGCAGCCTGCACTGAGAGTGGACTTTCCGTGAAAGGAGGCAAGTCTGAGCAAATCACAGTGGCTCAGGGAGGAGACTGGGGGCTCCATGCGGAACCCTCCCAAGGAAAGAGCCCTGCACAAGAATCCCAGGGCCATGAAAACGGAGCATTCCGTCCTGGGAGAGGACACAGCTTGGCACCACCAGCCACGGCCAAGCATCAAGTCAATCACGTTTGTCTCCAGGCCCCAGCATCTCCTGTGCTGGGATCTCCCACCTCGGGCACCTCCCTCCCTGGCAGTTGTTACATCAAAAATACCTGTCCCTGGTCTCATTGCCTCAGGGTCTGTGCAGAACAAATAAGCTAAAAACCCAACGTTTTTTTTTAACAGGCCATAAGTTGCCTCTGCTCATTCTAAGGAATCCCTGGCGTCACAAGGGTGGAGTGTCAGGCACTCTGCGGGCCAGGGCATTAGCATATTGAGCAGGAAGACTGTCTACCCCATCAACCGCCTTCGTCCTCAGATTCTCCATCATGTTCCTCAAGCGGCTATGTGTATTGTGTTTTGAAATACATGTGTTGTGACCAGTTTCCAGGGTCCCCATTTGCCCACCTGTTATCTGGTCTTTCATTTTCAAAACTGTCCCTGTTTGGATAAGAAATTATATGTTAAACTGGTTATTACCTAGCTGAGGCCTTATATTATCCCATAGGTTGGGGCTCTGGCAGAAAAGGACACATAACAAGGGCAAGGAGTGAAAGGGGGACTCTAGGGCCCAGTGTGCTCCTGGCTCAGCAGACATTTCAGTAGGATTTAAGGGTGCAGAAATATGGGGACCCTGGTCACTGGAAGACAAGGTCAGCCGGAAGGGTGAGGGCAGAGGTGGCTCCCCCAGCGCGGGAGAGAAAAGGTTCCTGGTTAGCCCCTGTCCTGTTCCGGGGGAAGAGTGAACTGAGGGGCGTGGCTGAGCAGAACCAATCAGAAAATGGCCCTAGGAACCAACAGTCACAAATATGCCCTGTCCCCGTCTTCTCAGTGAATGTAAACTGGCCCTCACGTTGGACACCAAATTAGAAGAGATGTCCTTTGCCCTGTGCTGCTACATGAAAATATCAGCTGGAACTCCTGACCTCCCCCCAAACCCACCCTACTCTTCAGAGGAGACAACCAAGTCCCCCCATCCCAAGACAGGCTCCCGAATCCTCTTTAAATCCTCGTATCGGGGTACTGCACTTCTCGTGGAACCCTGTGTCCATTTTCCTCTTTGACCAGCACATAACAGGCATTCGAATCCGGATTAGAGGCCATGTCCCAGAACATAGACTCTGAGAGCCAAAGGGGAGGACAGTGGTGGTTTTGTCACATGCTGCCAGTGAGGAACACAAGCCCAGAGACTGGGTGACTGGGCAAATCTGCAGAGGGGGCAGGGGCTCAGCCCAGCTCAGAGCCCAGGCCTCCTGATCCCAAGCCAGGATTCCCAGTGCCCACTCAGAAAACCCTAGAAGCTGCTGGGATGCCTAGCCCAGGCTGTCTCCAGGTCGCCCCTGAGAAAACAAGGAGACTGTACCTCTCAAGGGTGGCCCTATAAAGGCCAGATGGTCTCCAAAGATTCCCTTTGAAGTGAAACTGCCCTGCAGAGGGACAGTGGCTCCCCTTCTCCCAGCACCTCCCCTGCTGGCCTGGCCAGGGAAACCAGGATTATACCGCGTGACTTGTGGATTCCTTTCTCTTTTCCAGGTTACTCCTTTTTCAATGACGCTGAAGAGACCAAGGCCGCCATCAGAGACTGTAAGTAACCAAGTTCAAGCTGCCCGAGGCTGCATCAAGGCTGTTGTTGGGCACGCGGGCTTGATGGTTGTCTAGGACCATGCTAAAAGGGTGATGACCTAAAACAATGACAGGCTAAGAGAAGACAGCGGGAGAAATGTGGTGGACAGTGTACAGGGCTGGGGTCTCTGCTTCCTTATCCTTCCCCAGACTCAGCTTCCTTGTCTCTAAAACCCATCGCTGGGTTGTGGTGAGCTCAGGTCACAGTGCACGTGAAGTGCCTGGCTTATGCCAGCAGCACAGGTGCTCCAAAAACTGGTACCTGTTAGAAATAATAATCATAATTAGCAACCATTAGAGCCTTATGGCTGATAATGCCTATGAAGATGAGCTCACTAAGCAGATCACCTTAGTAATTACAAGGTGATGGAGGATCTCAGATGGCCTTGTTGATTCTGAAAATTAACCCTCATGATTTCACTTCTGCAGATGGAGAAAGTTTAGGAAAGGGAGCTTTGGAGCTTTCATTTTTTAAAGATGATGATGATCATGATGATTGCTTAGTTTCTGAGCCACACAAAAGGCCCTGGTCCAGGGTGGGAGGAGCTGTGGTTCCTGGAGAGACCCCTTTCCTCCACGGACTGCAGCTCATACATCCACAAAGATACGGCAGGACACGGTGGTTCTCCAGCTGAGGGGCAGACACAGAGGAAGGATTTTTTATGATTTTTATTTTTCTCTCCTTAAAGTCCCAAATAATCAACCAAGGATTCAGGCTATTGCTTTAATGATGAGTTTTTTACTGAGTTAACGCAGGAATAGCTGAGTCAGTGAACCACATGCAGTGGGCTTAAGGAGGCACACCCTGCCTCACAGAGCCCAGTGGCCCTGTTGAGAGCAGCTCTGTATTTCTCAAGGTTCCCTGCATTTGGGCCCAACGATCATGTAGTGTCTCCTTCTCGCAGAGAGCAAAGTGCCCACCTGGCTTCCTGGCTCTCATGGATTTTCATCCATCTGTAACAGGCTGGGGGTTGGGCAGTGAACCCCAGCTTTCACCCTCCAGCCCAATCCCGGCAGAGCCCCTGGAAGAAAGGAGCCCACCGAGGCCCGGGGCCACTACTGAGTCTGTGTCTGAAGGCCCGGGCCCGGGGCAGGCGCTTGCCACACTCCGGAAGCTTCGGCCGACCAGCCCGCTCTCAGGGCTCAGGAGCTCGACCCACCTATGTCTTTCTGCCGGCCTGCCATCCTCACAGCCGAGGAAGATGATGAACTAGACAGAGCTAGTGTGTCCCGCACCAGGAGAAGGTTCTACCTGAATCCATAACCAGTCCCAGTTAGAGTCAGTGCTGCTGTAATAATAGCAACAATGATAATAATAGCCGCTAGTATTTGCTGAGTGCTTACTGCGAACTAGGCCCCAAGCTAGACACCTTCTAGACATCGTTTCAAGGAATCTCTCCAGTAACTGTAAGACAAGTACTAGAACCATAGCCTTTTCCGCAGGCGCCAAAGCTTAGAGGCTAAGGTTAAAAGGTTAGCAGGTGACAGATGACCTGGATGTGCCTAAATCTGAAGCCCATAACCCTTCTTCCCCTCATCTACTTCTTTCTTTTCCTTTCCATTCATTCATTCCTTTGACCAGCTTTTATTCAACGCCTACTATGTGCCGGGCCGAGAGCTAGGTTCTGTGGCTCCAGTGCTGAGCATAACCAAGGTCTTGCCCTCATGGGACAAGGGAGGCAGAGAGACATTAAACAAATTACCCCAGTAATGAATATGTAATTGCTGATTATGATGATATTACAGAGGAAAATGGCAGGATGCCTTGTGTGTGATGGAAGAAAGATCACATTTAGATTAGGGACTAGGGAAGCCCTAGAGGAAGAGATATTTCAGTTAGGCCAAAAGGATGAGCAGAAACTAGCCAGGAAAAGAGGAAAGAAACAATTAAGGAGAATGAATGATTTGTGCAAAGGCCCTGTGCCAGGAACAGCTTCAAGCAGTGTTCCCATCCATCTTTAGTGAAGTTTAATAGCTCTTGTTACCATTTGTGAAGCACTTACTATGTGCCCAGCGCAGTGCCAGGCTGAGTATTCTACGTACATTAACTCATTTAATCCTCATCAAAACTTCACTAGGTAGTAATGTTATCCCTATTCACCTCTGAGGAAACTGGAGGTGCTGAAACTTGTAAATTACAAGTAAATGTAGCACAGAGATTCCCACTCGTTTTCTCCAAGTCCATGTTCTTATACACTGTGCTTTTCACCACATGCCCACAGGTGCACGCAGTCTTGCACACGCACATGCACACACATTGACAAACCCTTCTGTTCACTCTGCTGTCCGCTCAGTTGAAACCCAAGATTTAAGACTCCTCTGGGTCTGAGCCCAGCTCCATGAGGACTCAGAGAACAGGATGATTTTCAACTTCATACCTGCTGAAGAGGCTCAGGCCCAACAAGTTAGGAAACCGTCAGAACTGGCCCAAGTGACGCACCCAGCCCTGCTGCACTTGGTCTCCCTTCTCCACCCATCGTCTCCACCTCTGCGGCAGAAACACCCGTGAACGAGCCGCCTCCTGCTCCTGGCCTGGGGTGCAGGCCTTCTGGCTGGACCAGTAGTGTTACGGAGACTTGCTCCATGGTGAGCTTGTGTTAGAAACTCCAGCCTCCATCCCGCCTTCTGGAGGACAGCTGACCACGTTCCCTATAAACGACTGAGAATGTATCCTTTGGCCACATTTTAACGGTCTCTAGTTTCAGGGCAACCAAACTCCTGCAAATCCCATCAACAGCAGAGAGCTTGGGCCATGTCCAAACTGCAGGGACACACTCAAGGTGAAGACAGCTGTGAGACACGGAGAGCTGCCCCCTAGAACAGTATGGGCCTCTGCAGAGAAGTTTAGGGGGTTCGCAGTGCTGCTGCTGCTACCTCTGGCTGACCTTGGGCAGGTTTGGATTCGGGAACCTGCCTCAAGGTGGGCACACACTGATGATGCCTTCAGCCCCTCTGCCCCCACTGTCACCCCCGCTGCCACTCTCACTGCCACCATCTGCCAAGCAAGGCCTCCAATCTAGCCAAGTCACCACTACCTTCAAAGCCACCACTGAGCACTGGGAACAGATGGAACAGGATTATTTATCTCAGGCAAGACCCACAAGGAGAAACGCCCACCTTCCCCATAACCCTCCCTCATGCTGACCTATCCTGTGTTCATCCTGTCAAGCCAAGTATCTTCCATCCAAAGCACAGGAGGGGAAATCATAAAAATCAAAAGGGTGACTTTTGTCCTCCCACTTCTCGCCATTTTGGCATTTCAGGGAAAGCTCGTTGTCTAGTCACTGGTTAATAACTCACCTTTATCTTTACCATGCCATGTGTTTTCTCTCTTCTTACAAGATTAAATTAAAACAATAGAGAAGCCTGCCCTGCAGGTGACACTGCATAGTGTGGCATCAGATCAGATGGGAGGGCCGGACCCTTTCTCAGTCTTGATCAACCGGCCGTCAGCCCTGCTCACCTGCTGTCACCCCACTCCACCTGGCGGCAGCCCCAGTGTCAGCTGATCTCACCTGGGTATTCATTCGTGCTTTGGCCTGTGCACATGAGCCTGTTTTTCCACATCGACACGGTTCCCGACTGCAACAGGGCCGAGAAGAGGCCTGAGGGACGCCGCAAGCTGAAGTCACACATTCCTGTCATTGTTCGTTCCCGTGAACGATGCACTGTCATTCTCAGAGCTGAGGGCTCTGGCATTGAAATGTTTGGCCCGGATCTCGGCTCCGCCACTGGGCAGACACATGACCTGGATCGTGCTCCCAAAACATAGGCAGGGCTCGCTCCTTCCTGCTCAGGTGTCTCCTTGTCCGAGAGCTTTCTCTGTTGGCTTTTATTATGATTGCAGCTTCACTCGTCCCCTGCCCCTCACCTCTGTCCTCTCACCTGCTGTAATCTTCTCCACAGATTCATCACCACCTGAAGTAGCCCTTGCATGTCCATCGGATTTTCCTACCCACTTGGGTGTGAGCCCCTTGAGAGAAGAGACAGATTTATCCCGTGCTGTACCCCCAGGGCCTACTACAGAGGGCACACTGCGGCTCAAAACTCGTGAGCCAGTGAGTCAGTGGCCTACAGTGAGATACCTAGCCGCTCCATACCCCTGTTTTCTTATATGTAAAATGGAGACGGTAAGAAACATACATCATAAGAAGGGATGAGACCAAGTGAGCTCTTGGCAGTAGCAAACTCTCCACAAACTTGAATAATCATAAAGTGTCTATTGAGCACCTGCTATGAAAGACATTATGAAGTGGTAGTTGTGAACATCCACTTTGGAACAGAACTACTTTGGGTTCAAGTCCCGGCTCTACCACTCTGGATAAAATTCCTAAACTATCTGGACTTCAGTTTCCTCCTCAATAAATGGGAATAGTGATAATGCTGCACGGGGTCATGGCAGGGTTAAATGAGATACTGAATATGAAGTCTTTAACACACACTTGGCATGTAGGAAGTGCTCCATTAATATCAGCTGTAGTACAGGCAAACAAGAGATGAGATCAACCTTTACGGTGCAGTGGGACCAGTGCTGGGATACTGAGGAACACATGGGTGCTGTGGGACAGAGAAGGGGGGTCTAACCCAGAGGGAAGTTCAGAGAAGACTTCCTGAAGAGGTCTTGTGAGAATAGAGTCAGCTGGGTAGAAGTAGGGTACAGGAACCTGTGCAAAGGCCCTGAGGCAGGAGAAATTCAAGCCCCATTGGAACTATCTGACCCAAGAAGAGGGAAGAAGCTGGGTAGTATCAAGAGATAAGCCTGGAGAATGGGCTGGAGGTCCATTTGTGAAAGGGCAGCCTCTGCCCTGGAGACCACGGGGAACCACTGCAGGATGTTACACCAGGGAGTGACACAACCCACTGGCACTGAGACAGGTCGCCCTGGGCAGCAGCGTGGTGCACGGGGTACCATTCCTTCCCTGGACAACGTACTTGCTCTGTCTTTCAGTGGTTACAGCATAGTGTACCTGCCAGGCGGTGCAGCAGGAATGGCAAATACAGTGCAGTCCAGTGTGACGGCTGCTCCCCAACGCCTCCTGAGCACCTACTATATGCCAAGCACTGTGCTAGGTGCTGAGGGGGTGGGGTACACGTGGAAACACAGATCCCTGCCCTCTAGTGGGGAAAGTCAGCCAGTGAACAAAATAAATACATTCCACAATATGTCCCATGGGGATAAATATGACGGCAAAAAATAAAAGTAGGTCATGGAGTGTCACGTAGGGTGAGTATATGCAATTCCAGCTCAGTGAGGGAAGGCCCCCCTGAGAAGGTGACTTTGAGCAAAGATGCAGATGAGGGCCTGAGGCCATGGACTCAGCACAAAGGGAGCAAATGCCCCTGAGGCCGATGTGCTTTCGAGTTGCAGAAAGAGCCAGGAGGTCCGTGTGGCTGGAGCGGAGTGAGCAAGGGGACATGGCGGGGTGGGGGGCACCAGGGCGAGGGTGCCATCTGGTGTCACCTGTTATTTCTTAATCATATACCACCAGGTGTCTCAGACTGTTGCTTACAGCGTGAGTTCTACTTTAACTCAGTATTGAGTTAATGCCGTGCTATTCATAAGCTCTACCCTCTTCACTTTTACTCGTGTCCCTGCCAGTCTGTTCTCCACACACTAGCCAGAAGGATCTTCTTAAAATGTGGGTCTTGTCCAACTCCAGAGTTTTGGCTTTACTCTGTGAATAACATCCCACATCCTTACCACGTGCCCACGTGACCTGCTGGCGGCCCACTACCCTGGCGGCATCATCCCCTACCAGCCTCCCCGGGCACACCATGCGCCGCCGCATCTGCGCTCACTCCATGCTTGGCTTTGCACGTGCCGCTCCTTCCTGCTGGAACGCTCTTCCACCTCCTCACGTCAGCGTGTGTGTCTCCCCTCCAGGAGGCCCTCCCTGGCCACCCCATCTACAGCAGGTCTTCCTCCGCCTTCATCCTCTATCCTGTGCCTTTCTTCCTTCATCACACTTACAGCAATGGCGATTTGGGTTTCACTTGTGTTTTCGTGGCCCAGTAGTCCTCAAACTGCACGTGAGCTGGGACCAAGTCAGTCTTGTTCTCTTTCTATCTCCAGCTCAGAGCCCAGAACCAGGCACACAGCAGGTCCCCAGTGTTGGACACAAACACCCCTTAAACCCCCTGATTACCCCCAAAGCACACAGCATGCTGTCCTCCACCACACAGGTGCAGTGAACAGCTGCTCACTTAGGTACGAGCTAAGGTCAGAACGTGGCCCTGCATCTCTCCCTACAAGGATAAATCGTTCTGTTGCAGATGCTGATTCCAGCTGCTTGAAAACAAGTGGCATCAAAAGTCAAGACTGTCACAACCATAGTCGAACAAGTAAGTGTAGAGATGCGATTTCTCATTGCTGATTTCTTTTTTTTTCCCTGTCTCATTGCTGATTTCTTAAAACCACTTTTGAGACAAAGTAATCTACTTTAATAAGCTTTGAAACTCAGTGTTTGAGTGGGATGGGTTATTTCCCAAAGAACATAGAGAAATTGATGATGACTTTTATAAGGTTATCAAAATCCAGTTTCTTTTCGCTTGGAAATAGTATTATGAGGGTTAAAGAAATTGTCTAAGCCTGCTGAGTTTTTGAATAAGGGGTTATCTCTCCTGGTCTGCCGTGGGTCCATCTCACTAACGTACTTAAAGAAACCCCATGAGCTGGCAATTCTTTCAGCTTTCCCAGCACTGAAACCCATCTACCCAGTGCAGAGGCAAGCCTGCTGGGCTTGGGCCTAACCACCTAATATGTATTAAATCATAATCCTCTAACCTGTGCTATGAGGTAAGTACTCTTATGAACCCATTTTAGAGATAACTAGAGAGTTACAGAACTAGAAAAGGTGAACTCAGGACCCAAAGCCAGGCAGTCAGAATCCAGAGCCAGTCCTCACTGTGATATAATGGAACAAGAGAAATACCGGCTTTTCATGAAAAACATAATTGTAGGGTTGGCTATACCCAGACAGCTGTGGCTGAGGGATCTCCGTACAAGCATACGGCCTGTCACAGAGAAGAATGAAAAGATCGTTTGACCGTCATTCCATTAATTCTGTAAGACTTAGTTGTTCCACTGAGCAGGGAAGGTCTGGGAGCCACGCGGTGTTGCTGGTCAATGTAAATGTGGTGTCTCTGCGGTTTTTTTTCTAGAAGACTTTTCACAGCTCCGTGAGTTTCCAAGTGGAGCGCTCGGTCCTAACTGGGAAATGACTCCAGGAAGCAGCAGTGCTCAGGGGTTAATGAGAAGCTGCACAACTCGTCTCTTAAAAAAGAAATTGTTTTTTTTAACCTTTAACTGACTTTTTTCCTTCTCAAAAGGCCTCCAAAGTTCTCATCTATGGGAATTTGTGCGAGACCTGCTTCTATCTCCTGAGGAAAACTGCGGCATTCTGGAATGGGAAGACAGGGAACAAGGTATTTTTCGGGTGGTTAAATCAGAAGCCCTGGCAAAGATGTGGGGACAAAGGAAGAAAAATGACAGGATGACATACGAGAAGTTGAGCAGAGCTCTGAGGTAAGTGAATGGCGGGAAACGCCGGGAACCTTCAGGCAGAATTCTGTAAAACGGCCAGCTGGAGAAAATTCAACTGTTTTCGCAGCTTTTCACTTGACAATCAAAAGGTTAGGAACCAACATGTTGGTTCCTAGTTACAGGTGGGATTAGGGTTTGTAAATTGACACGCTGTCCTTTTCATTCTCAGCAGTGTTCCCTGGGGATCATTCAGAAGCCAGGCCACCACACACACACACACACACACACACACACACACAAGTTTTGAACTGAATGTGGTGAGGTTCAGTCTTCAAGATGTCTGGGAAAGGTTTAAGTGTAAGTTGATAAGAGGGTGTGAAAATACCAGGGTAACCAGAGCCCGCCTCGTCACCGGAGAGGAATGAGGAGCGTGTTTGTGTTCTGTTGTTTTCCTGGGGTGTGAACCTCCCCCACATCTCTCTCCTGCTGCCTTTCACAGGTACTACTATAAAACAGGAATTTTGGAACGGGTCGACCGAAGATTAGTGTACAAATTTGGAAAAAATGCACACGGGTGGCAAGACGACAAGCTATGATCTGCTCCATCAGCAAGCTCATTTGATGGATTTCTGGCTTCTAAAACAATCAGATTGCAACAGACGCTTGAAAGTCTTTGTCTTTTTTTTAAACCTGTAAACGTGTTGATAAAATTTCTCCACATCTCAGCTGACACTTGGATTCAGAGTTGTTGTGGTCTACTTGCGGGTGATGGCAACAACCCTTAAGAAATTCTTTTTTTTGGTTTTCACCCAAGGGGAGGGGGGATGACCTTTGATGGTACCTAGATCAGACATTACTTCCCGAATCAAGAGTTGCAGAACCACAGGAGCCAGTGCCGTTGGCGCTGCTCGGAGACAAAGGATCCGATTCTGCCCTGAGAGACTCCTCCAGTGCTCCCGTTCCAAAGGCTCCAAAGTTTTCACATACTTACTGTGGCAGCTCACGAAGAAAGAAAAAAAAAGTAATTAGTTTGTAGTCAATATAGTAGGAGGGGGTACAATGTGGGTAAGACAAACATACTGTAGATTTTAAATCGTTAAAGTCAAATTCCATAGAAAAGTTTCTTAATTAGTAAAAGAGCTACACCATCAAGCTGGTACATAATTGGATTTAGCGTAAGTTAATAGGAAGTTTCTTAACCAAAACATCTTTTTGGCCACTCAGCAAAACGCCCATGGCCATCCTTCTGGAGTAACACACTTAAAATCAGGCACGTTCTTAATTCTCGCTGAGTTTATTCCCCCTCTACTCCTTCGGGTGGGGGGCATCAGACATGCAAAGAGTTAGTCAAAGATGCTTGCCTCAATGTCCGAATCACGGCTGTTTCTATGATTCAAGTTATCAACACAATAAGCTCGTAATTCATCGATTCTGTCTGTGGCCAAGACGTCAACCCTTTATAGAACCAGGAGTGTCCTGACAGCTCTGTAATGTCCAATTAGATTATGCGTCCCTTTCATTTTGTCATCCTACCTGATGTGTACGCAAGCTCCAAAACACATATTTCCTTAACAAAAAATAGCGGCGCTGAATTTACACCACGTGAATGTTCACGGGTTCAAGTCTGCACTGACGTTTTCTCATCATCACTGGTAGGTGAGCTGTTGGCGCCCTCCAGCTGGGTGGACCACCCCGGACTTCTGCTTCCCAGAGCAGGAAGCTTCATGTGACAAGGCGCTGAACCACGATGCAGGCTGAGGGCCTCCATGCTTACAGGTTCCCTTCAAAAGTAACTTGTTAAAAAATGTGAATGACTGTAAAATAATCTATTTTTGGATTCCTGTGTTTTCCAGGTGGATACACTTTGTAAACAATGTGAATAAAATATTTAACACGTTACACTGTCTCTGTATTATTCCAGTCACCGATTCAGCAAAGCATTGACAACCTATAGCACCTCTGAAGACCCTTCCATGTCCTAGCATTTAGGAGATGCAGATTCCTACAGAGCCCCCCAGAGGTGCAAGAAACATCTGGAGTGATGTTGCCCACCACCTTTCCATCACGAGACAGGGGTCCCCTCACAAGATAGAACACATGGTCCAGTGGGGTCTACAGATATGTTTTTGTTTGGTGTACATACACACAATTTTTTTTACTTGTGTTTTCAGGTTTGGTTTTGTTTCTTACTATGGGTTAGTTGCCTCATTTTAAAATCAGGAGATTTACAGGCAAATCCAGATTCCAAATTTCTTTTTAAAAATCAGATCTGCACCACGAGTTTCCCTGTGCCTGAGGCGGTCTTTTCCTGGACCCAAGTGGAAGAGCATTTTGTCACCACTTCACGCTGCCTCAGGTGTTGAACTTTGTTCTTACACTCTTGTGGTCCGTTTGGGAGGTTTTGGTTTTTGTGTTTCATACATCCAGAATGTGTTTACATCTTGAATTTGGGGCCCCTGTCCTAGAGGGAAATGGATCAAAGCTCACAGTCCAGTTGAAAGAAGAGACTGTCCAGAAAATTGGACATTAGCTAATGGGAGGGAAGCTGGGAGGGAGCTTTCAGGCAACGAGCTTGCCAGTGAAGAAGCAGAACCCAGAATCTCCAGGGGATGGCAGGGACTGAGGTCCAGCAGGGCAGGCAGTGGTGGATGGTACCAGGGAGTAACTCATTACCTAAGAGATGCTGCCCCGCCCCAGAGTGGAGCATCCAACAATTCACAGAACAACAACAAAAAATTAATCCCTCTGCTATTCAAGAAGTTTTCATTTTATAAAACCTTTAAACTAGCATCCTTTTTGTATGAGTTTCCCAGGGCTGCCCAAGACAAATCACCAAATCTGGTGACTTAAAACAATGGAAATTCATCCTCTCGCAGTTCTGGAGGCTAAGCCCAAAATTAAGGTATTGGCCGGGCCATGCTTCCTCCACAGGCTCTGGAGAAGGATCCTTTTTTGCCTCCTCCAGCTTCTGGTGGCTCCAGGTGGTTCCTCAACTTGTGGCTGTAAAATTGCAACCTCTGCCTCCATCTGCATATGAACTGCCCGCCTTCTTCCCTTTGGTCTCTTAGAAGCACACTTACCTTTGGGTGTAGAGCCCATATGGGTAATCCAGGATGATCTCATCTGGAGACACCTGCAAAACCCTTTTTTCCAAATAAGGTCACCTTCACATGTTCCTGAGGATGCAACATGGAAACATGCTTTTGAGGGCAGTCATTCAACCCACTATACTCTTTAAAATGTGAGTTTTACTGACACATATAGCTTCATAACGCAATTCACTAAAGAAAGGAAAATACAAGGACTGTTTAAAACACCACACCTTAAGCAAACAATAGCAAAGCAAAACAACAGACAATACTAAATTCCCTTATCAAACAGTCAAACTAGGAATGAGTATTTCCTTTGTGAAAAAGGATCACAATGGAATATGATTGATAAAAATTCTCAAAAACTCAAAAGTATACAGAACTTTCTGAGTTCACCTCTACTAACCTTTCACATCTTTAAAAGCTCTGATAAGGATTTTAAAGCCTTTCAATGGTTTTTAAGTGGAATTTGGCCCTTTGCCTTTTGGTGATATCATGAACTGAAGCAAAGAAATGGCCAAGCAACTTGCAAACTGCTTTTCCCTCAGAAAAGCCAGTGCTAAGAAGTTCTTAAAACTCATTTCTGTAGCAGAGATTACAAATTAGAGCAATGCCCCTTTATCCAGGAAAGGAAGAAATTAACGTGTTTTAAACCTGAAGTTCAGACATTGAATTTGAAGCAACAAGGTGATCCTTCAGTGTTTCTATAAGCCCAGATCAAGTCCCCCTTTGAGGTGAGCAAAACATAATAATAGACTTTAAAATTCCAGGAGTCGACTTTTAGAGAGCAGTGTGCCAGAAGATAAGTGAAAACGCCTTTTAAGAAGGTGAGAATGTAATAGGAAAAGGAATCTAAGTGTAGATGTATAACCGAATCACCATGCTGTACACCAGAAGCTAATACAACATTGTGAATTGACTGTATTTCAATCAATCAATCAATCAAGGTGAGAATGTACGAAGTGAAAAGACCTATCCACTCAAAAACACACACACAAATGTGCACAGCAGCATGATTCATAATGGCCACAAAGCGGAAGCAACCCAAATGTCCATCAACTGATGAATGGAAATAAAACACAGCTTATCCTTACAATGGAATATTATTTGGCAATAAAAGGAAATGAAGTATCGATATATGCTACGGCAGGTAAGAATCTTGATAACACTACACCAAGGAAAAGAAGCCAGTCGTGAAAGACCACATATCGTATAATTCCATTTAAATAAAATGTGCGGAGTAGGTAAATCTAACGACAGATTAGGTTAAGTTGGAGAAATGGTGAGTGCCAGCTAGTGGGTAGGAGATATTTTAAGGGGTGACAGACATGTTCTAAAATTGATTGCGGTGATGGCACAACTTGATACCTATACTAAAAACTACTGAAGCGTACAGTTTAAATGGGTGGATTTTATGGTATGTGAATTATATCTCAAAAAAGGCTGGTTTCTTTTAAAAAGAAGGTTCCAATGATGAAGGTTCAAACACTGCTGACAGGCCACGTAAGGTGAGGATGCGGATGGATCACTGGGCTTTGTGTGTGGGTGCTAAAATATACACAAGATAAAATTGAGCACTCTAACGGTTTTTAAGCATAAGTTCAGTGGCAAATACAATTCATGCTGTTGTGCAACCATCGCCACCACCCTTCTCCAAAACCTTTTTATCTTCCCAAACTGAAACTCTGTAACCACTAAATAATAATTCCCATTTGCCTCTCCCCCCAGCCCCTGGCAACCACCATTCTACTGTCTTTGTGTATTTGGCTATTCTAGGTAACTCATAAAAGTGGAATCACAGCATATTTGTCCTTCTGTGTCTGACTTATTTCACTTAGCATAATGTCATCCATGTTTTCGCATGTGTCAGAACTTACTTCCTTTTTAAGGCTGAATAATATTCCATTGTCTGGATATACATTCTGTTTATCCGTTCATCTGTCAATAGACACTCAGGTTGCTCTCAACTTTTGGCCCTTGTGAATAATAACACATTGTACACATATCTCTTCAAGTCCCTCCTTCCACTTCTTTTGGGTACATACCCAAAAGTGGGATTGTTGGATGGGACAATTGGATTTTAGTGGCATGGAAGTCATTGTGGCAAAAGCAGTCTGCTTGTAGGTTCAAGAAAGGACAGAAGATAGTAAAGATTCAAGTAAAGGCAATTCTTTTAAGATTTTTTCAATAAAGGGAAGCAGAGTAAAGGAAGCAATAGCAAGAGAGGCTTATGAGATCAAGCGGAGATTTGAGGAGACATATAAGAGTAGGTTTGCATGCTAAGAGGAAGGATGCAGAATTGCAGAGCGGGGAGGAGGGCATGGGCCAGTGCATGTGTAGGGGGCTTATCTTCAACATGAACAGAACTCATCTGTCAACAGGAAGGGACAAAGAGAACATGGATGCTGGTGCTGGCAAGTCAGAGGACTTTGATGAAGTAATAGATAAAGAAGTCATTCTCTCCTTGGTGAAATAGAGCAGAGTGGGAAGGAGAAACCAGTGGGAGACTTTACTGAGGAAGGAAAGGGAGATCTCCCAGCAGTGCTGAAGGCCCACTTGAGGTTTGTGGTCAAATTTTTAAAAGCCCAGTCAGCACGGCTGTGGGGCTGTGTTTTGCTCCAGCCACAGTCATTTCCAGGGTAAGAAATGAGTAAGTGAGAGGTGCAGTTTACCAAGGCTGGGTTCTAGAGTAATTATCACTTTGAACTATGAAATCTAAACAGAGTACAAAGGGAAGTGAGGACATGAAGGGGATGGTGACCAGAAAGGAAAAACAAGTTTCATTTTCCTGCATTCTTACACTTTTGCCATTATGGGCTAACCATCACCAGGGGTCCCTGTATCTTAATGTCACTTAAAAGGAATACCATTAGGTAGTATGTCCCAGGAAGTAAAACCTAACTGCAGAAGTTAACCTCATCCATATTTACCTTTGAAATTACAAAAGTAATTTTCCAGAGCAAAACTGGGGTTACTTCCATGTGTCGGATTTTTACATATAGAAACATGCTGGATATATGTAATGTTAACTACCAACTTATTTTTAGACTACAGAATAGAACAAAGCAGAAAATTAGCTCAAAAACTCTGTCTTGGGAGGTGGGAGTATAGCCCAGTGGTAGAGCATATGCTTGGCATACATGAGATCCTGGGTTCAATCCCCAGTGCCTCTTGTTAAGGGAGAGAAAAAAATAAAAGAATTTTTAAAAAACCTCTCTTTGTGTTTATAACCAGTATTCAAATTAATAACCTCTTCCCCCATCAAAGTATATTCCTTTTTAAGTTTATCTTATATATTTAATATAGTAAAGAAATATAACTATAGTAAGGTTACTGTATTGAATGTATTCACCATTGGTTACAAAAATGGAAACATTTATTTTCTCTGTCTACAAATATAATAGTTTTCAAGCACACTAAAATGCAGAAGGAATTTAAGCAGGAGTTTGTCAGGAGAGCAAAGGAGTTTGAGCTAAAAGACTGAGAATTTGTATCTGCTGATGGTCTAATGGTTTCCTGAAGCTCAAGAGAGCTCAGATTCCTGAGAGTAAAGACAAACTGGTTTTGAAGATCTGAGATGAAGGGAATAAGGCTCTCCAAGGAAGGCAGGTTTTCATTTCATATTCAGAACTCATCTGTAAGGTGTTCCACTTGATTTTCAAGCATGACAGGCAAATATAGGTTAAAAAAAGAAAGGGGAAAAAAAAAACACTTGAGGTTCTGAACCCTCTTTTAAAAACTCATAATCAAAAGACTATTGGAACTCATCATGAATTCAATAAAATTGCAGGCTACAAATTAATATTCAGAAATCTGTTGCATTTCTACACACTAACAACAAACTACAGAGAGAGGAATTAAGAAAACTATCCCATATACAATCATACCTAAAGGAATAAAATATCCAAGAATAAATCTCACTAAGACCATACTCAGAAAACTGTAAGACACTGATGAAAGAAACTGAAGAGAACACAGACAGATAAAAAGATAAACCATGCTGGCAGATTAGAATTAATACTGTTAATACTATTCAAGGCATCCATAGATTCAGAGCAATTCCTATCAAAATACCAAGATCATTTTCCACAAAACTAGAACAAATAATTCTAAAGCTTGTATGGAAACACAAAAGACCTCAAATAGCCAAAATGATCTTGAGAAAGAACAAAGCTGGAAGTTCTCATTTCACACGCCCTCATTTCAAACTATACTACAAAGCTACAATAATCAAAACAATATGGTACTGGCACAAAAAACAGACACACAGATCAATGGAACAGAAGCCCAGAAATGAACCCACACTTACATAGGCAATTAATCTACAACAAAGGAGGCAAGACCATACAATGTGGAAGCAATGGCCTCTTTAATAAATGGTTTTGGGAAAACTGGACAGTTACATGCGAAAGAATCAAACCACACTACTCCCTCACACCATGCACAAAAATAAATTCAAAATGGATTAAATATTTAAATGTAAGACCTGAAATCATAAAACTTCTAGAAGAAAATGTAGGCAGTAAGCTCTTTGACATCAATCTTGGTAATATTTTGGGATATGTCTCCTCAGCCAAGAGAAACAGAAACAAAAATAAATGGGACTATATCAAACTAAAATGTTTTTGCACAGCTAAGGGAACTATCAACCAAATGAGAAGGCCACCTATGCAATGGGAGAAGATATTTGTAAATGATATAATCTGACAAGGGGGTTAATATCCAAAATATACAAAGAACTCATACAACATTAAAAAAAATAACCTGATTAAAAAGTGGGTAGAGGATCTGAACATACATTTTTCCAAAGAAGGCATACAGATGGCCAACAGACACATGAAACAGGCTCAATGTCGTTAATTATCAGGGAAATACAAATCAAAACCACAATAAGCTATTACCTCACACTTGTCAGAATGGCTATCATCAAAAAGACAACAAATTGCAAGGCTTGGTGAGGATGTGGAGAAAAGGGAACCCTTGTGCAGTGCTGGTGGGAATGTAAATTCGTGCAGCCACTATGGAAAACAGTATGGAGACTCATCAGAAATTAAAATAAAAGAAAATCACCACATGATCCAGCAATTCCACTCCTGGGTATTTATCCACCAAAATTCAAAAGATACATGCATCCCTATGTTCACTGCAGCATTAATGATTTACAATAGCCAAGATACTTACAATAGCCAAGCTGTGACCTAAGTGCCCATCAACAGATGAATGGATAAAAAAAGATGTGATACATATAATGGAATATTATAAGCCATAAGTAATAATGACATCATGCCATTTGCAACAACATGGATGGACCTAAAGGGTTATTATGCTAAGTGAAATAAGTCAGACAGAGAAAGACAAATACTGTATGATTTCACTTATATGTGGCATCTAAAAAACAAAACAAATAAACGAACATAACAAAGTTGCCATAGGGGAGGGCAGTTGCAGGCAGAAATAGGTGAGGGTGACTAAGAGGTACAAAATTCCAGCTGCAAAATAAATGAATCACGGGTATGAAATGTACAGTGTGGGGAAGATATTCAATAACTATGCAATGTCTTTGGTGATACATTATAACTAGACTTATAATGGTGATCATTTTGAAATGTATGGAAATACTGAATCACTATGTTATGTAACAGGAACTAACATAGCATTGTAGGTCAATTATATTTCAAAAACAAGCAAACTCATAGAAAAAGAGATCAGATTTGTGGTTACAATGAGGTGGGGAGGTAAGGGGAGGGGGGAATGGGATGAAGGCAGTCAAAAGGTATCAACTTCCAGTTATAAGGTAAACAAGTACTGGGGATGTAATATGTAACACAATAAATATAATTGCCACTGCTGTATGTTACATATGAAAGTTGCAGAGTAAATCCTAAGGGTTCTCACCACAAAGAAAAAATTTTCTATTTCTTTAATGTTGTATCTGTACAAGATGATAAAATTTCGCTAAACTTCTTGTGATAATCATTTCAGTGATATATGAGTCGAATCATTTTGCTGTACACCTTACTTATATAGTGCTGCATGTCAATTTTATCTCAATAAAACTGGAAGGAAAAAAGAAAAAATTAAATAAAACTCATAATCAGATAAGGAAATGAGCTAATGGACAGAAGATCTGAAGAGTTTGCTGTTTTCCAGACGGAATAAAGTTCTGTTCCCCTGTGCCTCAGAAGCTGTGTCTAAAAGCTACTGCTTTTAACAAATAACATACTTTCCTTGTGAAAATGGCATTTTCAATTTTAAGTGTATACATCTGATAGCAGATAATATGCAGATTAAGAGTCTCAGGACAGTCCAAGTTATATATGAAGCCTAAAAAAGTCAAATACCAGTCTTCTATTTTATGTATAGATCATTTTATTGTAAAAATATAAGCAAGTACAAATCAGTTTGTTGCAAAACCAATGCTGCATTAGCATAAGTGCAATTCCAAGTTTTAAAATATCGCATCAGTTCCAAGCAGGAATAAACCTTATGCCATGATGGTACTGAAATTATTTTCAAAAAACACCAATGCACTCAATATGTTTTTCCTATAAGGAACTTAGAAAAGCTAAAATTCCTGATTAGATTTTTATCTTCTCTTCTTATATCATTATAGCCATATTTTAATATAATAGGCCAGGAGATGATATGTAAACATTAATTTCATCAAGATTTTCTTCTTATCAAATAAAACCATATTTCTGCTAGAAACTTCATTCTTAGTCATTTTAAGTGAATAATCAACTGTCAAAGGCAAATACATGTTTCCTTTAAATAATTATTAAGCCTTAACCTTCATTTATCCCTAGGAAAACAGCATTAAAAGCCATTATTACATTATTTGCTATAGAAATCTGGATTATCATTAGACAGACATAAGCTTGATTTTGCATGGCGAGCACAGGAGAATCTCCCATCCAGCGATGAGGGGTATGTGTGTGAATACCATGCTTGGCTTCATAGGCGGACGGCAACGTGGTGTAGGATCAGGGCCCCTGACCCTCACAGGTTAGCCTTCTCTTTTGCAGACAAGTGAGACCCAGCCTGCGTAAAGGTGTGAATCGCGTTCTGTTTGAAAAAAAAAACAAGACCAGCAGGTTAATTAACTCACTCGGCAGTAGTAACTTAGTATTTATCTTAGCTTTAATCTGTGCTCAAATCAAAATCCAATTCAGAATGTGTTCACCTTAAGCTGTCTTATATTGCCCTGGGCTGAAATGAAGAGTATATATGCTTTGCAGGTGAGTTAGTTCTTTACATGCCAAACGAGATTCTGAACAGCTGCTGAAGAAATCTAACAGTTGTCCCCGAAGAGACTCATCATAAAAGGAAACCCAGCTCCGCCCATCCAGGACACACATCCTCCACCACAGCCGGTCTGCTCTGGGCTCACCTTCGGCTTCTCATCGTTGTATTTGTCCAGAAGAGCCTGGATGCGGGCCCCGTACTCTGGGTGGACGTCGCTGAAGTTCTTGACCTGAAATCAAGTGAAAATAATGTAAACACTACTGCAGCCCCTACGAGCCAGTCCCTGGTGTCTGCTCCACGGTGTTTACAGGGGAGGAAGGACACGTCCACGGGAGCCCGAGCCACAGTGTTTACCTACACGAAGTAAGACCTGAGGGGCCAGTGAAAACCCGGATGCATACTGGCTGAGCAACCTTGGGTAAGTCATTCAGCCGAGCTCCACTCCCCATAAAAAAAAAATGAGATAATTAAATCTGCCCCATGGAATATTGTGAGAAAAATGCATTATGAGATGAGCTGCATCTACTGCATGTAAAGAGCTGACCTCAGAGTGACTCCACAAGTTATAGTCATCTGTACTAAGAAACAGGCCCATCAGTGGGATCCCTATCAAATTACCCAGGACATTTTTCACAGAACTAGAACAGATAATTCTACAACTTATATGGAACCACAAAAGACCCAGAATCACCAAAACAATCATGAGGAAAGGGAACAAAGCTGAAGACATAATCCTCCCAGACTTCAGACGATGCTACAAAGCTACAGTAATCAAAATAGAGTGGTATTGGCTCAAAAACAGACATATGGATCAATGGTACAAATGGTCAATTAATCTTTGACAAAGGAGGCAAGAATATGCAATTGAGAAAAGACAAGTTCTTCAGCAAGTGGTGCTGGGAAAGCTGGATAGCCATGTGTAAATCAATGAAGTTGGAACACTCCCTTACTCTATACACAGAAATAAACTCAAAATGTCTTAAATATTTAAACATAAGACAGGACACCATAAAACTCCTAGAAGAGAACATAGGCAAAAAGTTCTCTGACATAAATTCTAGCAATGTTTTCCTAGGTCAGTCTCCCAAGGCAATAGAAATCAAAAATAAATGAGATCTAATCAAACTTATAAGCTTTTATACAGCAAAGGAAACCATAAACAAACATGTTAAAAAAAAAAAGACAACCTACAGAATAGGAGAAAATATTTGCAAACAATGTAACTGACAAGGGCTTAATTTCCAGAATATACAAACAGCTCATACAACTCAGTAACAAAAAAAAACCCAATCAAAAAATGAGCAGAAGACCTAAATAGACATTTCTCCTAAGAAGATATACAGATGGCCAACAGACACTTGAAAAGGTGCTCAATATCTCTAATTATCAGAGAAATGCAAATCAAAACTACAATGAGGTATCACCTCACACCAGTCAGAATGGCCATCATTAAAAAGTCCACAAATGATATATGCTGGAGAAGGTGTGGACAAAAGGGAACCCTCCTACACTGTTTGTGGGAATGTAATTTGGTGTAGCCACTGTGGAGAACAGTAGGGAGGCTCCTTTAAAAACAAAAATAGAGTTACCATATGATCTAGCAATCCCACTCCTGGGCATATATCCAGAGAAAGCTAATTGAAAAAGATATACACATTACAATGTCACAGCAGCACTATTTACAATAGCTGAAACATGGAAACAATAGCCAAGACATAGAAGCAACCAAAATGTCCATCAACAGATGACTAGATAAAGAAGGTGTGATAGATTTATATGATGGAATACTACTCAGCCATAAAAAAGAATAAAACCATGCCATTTGCAGCAACATGGATGGACCTAGAATCATCATACTAAGCAAAGTGAGTCAGAGAAAGACAAATACCATATCACTTATATGTGGAGTCTAAAAAATGATACAAATGAACTTAATTTCAAAGCAGAAATGGATTCACAGACATAGAAAACAAACTATGGTTACCAAAGGGGAAGGCGTTGAGGAGGGATAAATTAGGATTTTGGGATTAATAGATACACACTACTATATGTAAAATAGATAAACAACAAGGTCCTACTGTATAGCACAGGGAACTGTATTCAATACCTTGTAATAACCTATCATGGAAAAGAATATGAAAAATAATATATATATACACACACATATCTGAATCACTATGCTGTATGCCAGAAACACATCGTAAATCAACGATACTTGAATAAAGATAAATAAATAAACAACGACAACAAAGAGAAGCAGTCCCAGACACTGCCTCAACTGAAAGTGAGGTATATGAACACCAGCACCTGCTGGGCAACTTGACAGACTTTCCAGCAGGAATTCTGGCCACGGGCTGATCCCAAGTATTCGGGAGGAGACAGGGCACCAAGAACTCACAGAAGGCCTTGCAGCGTCAGCATATGTGAGAATAAAAGGCCAAGGGTTAGAGCCCAGTTCTGCTACTTACAAACTGTCTTATTCACTCTCATCAGTAAGATAAGAAGAAACCTGCCCCCATATCACACAGCAGCTGTCAGACTCTGCCCGAGACAGCAAGAAGTACTAGCACCAGACGGACTTAAAGGGTTATCTTTCCTACGCACACTTGTTATGTCATGTCTATAACATCACAAGGGAGACAGTTACAGACATAGACCTCCGTGCACAGAGAGAGCGCCCAGCCTGCTGGTTACCTGTCTCCAGGCCTTAGAACACATGTCAGACAGCTGCCCCTACGAACAGCAACCGAGTCAAGGAAACAGCAGGCGCTCCTAACTCTACCAGAGTGACCCCCGTGGCTGGCCAGGAAACCACTAGTGAGCACACAGCACAATGAGCTGCCACTGGAAGTACCCTGGCACCTCAGCTCAAATTTCAGCCCGAGTTTTGGAAACAGCTCAGTTCTCATCCCAGAAAACGCAAGTTTCAAGTTGTTTCAGATGGAGGGTGTCAAAACATCAAGTAATCAGGTACACCTAAAACCACAAAAATGTACTCTGTATTTTTTATCATCTAAAGTCTAAGCAAAATTTTGATGGACCATACTCTCTTGCACAGAACTTGGCTGCAGCCAAATTAAACAGCACAGGAGACAAGTGACCCACTGGACAAACAGCTAAAGGTCAATGGATATGGCATATTTACTGGCGATAAAATATGGACAGAAAATAATCAGAGGTTAATTTGTACTAATTTTTTAAGTCTCCTTAACTCAAGTACAACAGAAAGAACACTTCTCCTTTGAAGGGTTCTCTCACACAACTGTAGTCTCTTCTCCTGCCAGCAGGTGGCACCCTTTAGCTTACAAAGCACCACTCACCGCTTTCTTCTGGATGAAGAGCTGCGCGTCTTTCAGGTGGCCGGCAATGTTCTCACACAGGCGTTTCCTCTGCTCCTCGTTCAGTACTTTCAAATAGAAATCCCGCACCTGCTCAATGAAGTTAGCGTGCAGAGAATCAATTAACCACTTTACCACGAACAAAACTCACCCAAAATGCCACTTTTGAAACGAAAATGTGAGATTTGTCATTGACATAAGAATGAAAAAGTTAGAATTTAAGAATAATTTTAAAATTATAGGTGAAACCATCACATGCTGAGTTCCTCACTTTTTATTTTATTTTAAGCAAAACAGGAAGAATTCAGTTGTTGGTAATAGCTCATAATTTCTTTTTAACAACGTCCTTTGCAGTCACTGTTCATAAATCTATTATAAATAGAAGGCAGTGTAGCTTACAATTAAAAATACCACCACAGAGTGGGGGAGGGTATAGCTCAGTGGTAGAGCGCATGCTTAGCATGCATGAGTTCCTGGGTTCAATCCCCAGAATCTCTGTTTTTAAAATATGCCACCACAACTTAATACTGACAAGTACGGAATGTGCAAACACTCATCAAATGTAAGCTTGGCACAATATATTCCCTTTTCAATTCATCCAGAACAAAAAGGAAAACACTCTAATTCATTAATCTATGTCCTTAGTTATTCAGAAGCCAAGATTTCTTGGAGAAGACAGACGTTAATAGTGATATTTTGTTTAGCTTATTTGGCTTAACTCTAAAGTGATTATCAATAGGTTAAAATGAAAAATAAGAGCTTAGCATTAGGTCTATTCTATGAGTTCTAATGGTCCCTGCTTAATTCTGAAATCAACCATTTCCAGGTTACAGCTATGATTTTATTCTAACATTTCTTTCATTCATTCATTCAACAAATACTCATGTACCTATAATGTACCAGATGCTATTCTGTGTACTGTTCTATTAATGTTTATAAAGTCCAAAACTATCCAATGATCCAAAGTAGCAAATTCATAAAATGTCAAATATTCGTAGCTTTTCTAAGTTACCAAATATCAAAATAACATTTTTTAAAAATTTGAGCAAAATTTAAATCTTATGCCAAAGTTAAAAAATCAGTCTTTCTATATCAATGCAATCCAATCAAAGTACTGCATTATTGGGGTTCCTTCAGGTTTGTCTTAAATTCACTAATTCTCTCTTCAGCAGTATATAACATATTGTTTAAACATCCACTGAGTCACTCTCACTGTTGAATTTTTATTTCAAAGACTGTATTTTTTTGTCTCTAGAAATTTATATTTGGTTCTTTTTCAAATCTATCTGGTTTTGTTTTCTCACATTCTATTCTTTATAGATAATATTCCTTTCTGTATCTCCTTGAACGCTGCATACACGTCTATTTTAAAGCCCCTTTTAGATTTTCTATCATGCATAGATTCTTCCATCTACTGCTTGTACAGTTTCTCAGGGCATTGAATTTCCTTGCATGTATTGTAACTTTTCCCTGTGACTCATCTTCAACAGGAGTCATTCTGCAGAAGTACCAAATACGTCCAAATTGTGAAAGTGTCTTCAGGGGGTGATTTTTTTTCATCATCTCTGCAGAGGACTAACAGGACTCACTGATTCACTTGTTTCTCAGCTTCCACGTAATTCTAAATGGGAGAAGGCCGCATGGACCTCATCTGAACACAGCATGGGAAGGGAGCCTCCAATTTCTCAGGCTTGACTGCTTCCATCTAGAGTCCACATGCTTTCAAGCTGCATTCTCAGTCTGGTAGGTAGTAATTCAATGGGGTACGAGTTCCTGATTCTCATCATTATGTCAAGAGACCAGTTCTAGCTCTCTGCAACACAGGAAGCCTATGGCCTCAAACTCCTAGCCCCTCGGACAAGGCATAAAATCTTAATAAGATATAAACAGGGTCTGGTTACCCCCATGAAATAATATACCTTCAGTGTTCATGCATTACTGTGATTCCTCTCTTCATTTCTGGGACCTGGAGATTGAACTTTCTCGTTAATTAGCTCAACTACATTCTTTTATTTTAAAATTTCTTTAATCTAGCATGTCTATGTGTGAGAAGTAAAAGAAAGTCCTTCTATAGCACCTCAACCTACTATCTTGAACTAAAAGGAATTTGGTCCTGCAATTCCACTGGTATGCCGGAGAGAGCTTGCTCGTAAGAGCAGACTGTCAAGTTTTTAGGAATTTTGTGAGTGAGCTGTTAAACACAGTCATTATTAAAAATTAGATTATATAACAAATGAACTTAAATATAAAACAGAAACAGACTCACAGACATAGAATACAAACTTGTGGTTGCCAGTGGGTAGAGGGGTGGGAAGGGACAGACTGGGAGTTCGAAATTTGTAGATATTGACAGGCATATGTAGAATAGATAGACAAGATTATACTGTATAGCACAGGGAAATATATACAAGATCTTGTGGTGGCTCACAGTGAAAAAGAATGTGACAATGAATATATGTATGTTCATGTATGACTGAAAAATTGTGCTCTACACCAGAAATTGACATAACATTGTAAACTGACTATAACTAAATAAATTTTTTTAAAAAATAAAATAAATATTTTTTAAGATAAAATGTTCTAAAAATTTCAAAATTCAGCATTAAAAAATTAGATTATGTAAACTTTAAATAAACTATATTACAAACAAAAGTAATAAACCCTCAAAACATATCACTTCCTAATTAATACATATTACCTATGTTCTTGAAGCTGTCTGTGAGTATTCTGTCTCTGTGGTGGAAATACTATACAGCAGTGTGATACTGAACCACGTTCCAATGTCACAGGTTCAGTGACATCATGTTGGTAGCTTAAAATCAGCCCTACGGAATATTTTCATCATGAAAATCAAACACTATAAACCAGAGCTCTTTCCCCAGGGAGCCAACTGTTAAATATTTATCAAAAAAACCCATACAAAACACTTGCTCTGGGGGAGAGCACGTGCTTAGCCTGCACAGGGTCCTGGGTTCAATCCCCAGTACCTCCATTAACAAAATAATTTTTAAAAAAAACTTGCTCTGCCAGAGATTTAATTAATACACAGTTTTTAAAGGTTAGGAAAAAAGCACATGTATGTACACAAAGATAAACCACATGCCTACTTCAGCACATGACACAAGACGACCACAATGTCAATAGCTTGTAACCCTTATCCCCTAACTGTAGCTTCAGCCTCACCACCGCTCAGGAAGAGGCAGGTTGGGACTTTGAAGGCAAACTGAAGAAGTCTCTACAGAGATCTGAGTTGCCTTTTCTCATGCCTGGCTAACAACCCCCACCTACAGACAGCTGGACTGCTCGCTACAGGAAGGCATGGACTCCACACATGGGACGGCTATTCCATATGATTAACTAGATAAAGATGCTGAGCTGTTTTATCTGCTTCAACACACTAACCACCTTTAGGAGTGGGACCAAATTCCTTCGAAAGGAAAGTCACATTTTTACTGGTCTATACGAAGTGAAAGAATAATTTTTTCTTTTTCAATGTAACATGCCTACAGTAAAGGGTACCAAACATAAGTGTGAAGTTCTATGATTTTTCAGTGAATAT